CCAAGCGCCCCCCCTCATCGCGCGCATGCTGCACATCATCGTCTTCGTGAGCTTCCTCGGCTTCTTCATCAAGCTGTTCCGGCCGTCCGAGGCCAACATCCTGTTCGACGGCGGCAGCCTGATGCTGTACGTGATCGGGGCCGGGGTGTATCTGAGCAATATTGTGAAGGGGATGAGAGCGGTCAGTCAGCCCGGGGGGTTGGCGGCTGCGGAAGCGGCCGCGGCGCTTCAGCATCATGCGGGTCCGGTGAGCGGGGAGGTGGTGCTGGGGCGGGAGGATAGTCTGCGCGTGTTGAGCGCGAGCCATGTGATTTTGGCGTTGGTGTTGGTGGGGGTGCTGGTGCTGCAGGCTGGGCAGTGGTATGCGGAGCGCAAGGAGGCGGATGAGGTCGCTCAGTTGGATCGGGAGGCCGCGGATAGGAAGGGGGCGGCGGGGTCGGGGAAGAAGAAGTCTTGAGGATGTGGTAATAGAGGTAGTGGGGGGCTGAGCTCGGGGAAAGGTTGGATTTTGGGGTGGTGGATGGATAGACGGATGGGTTGATAGATATTTCGGTAAATATGTTGTTTAGTTGTTCAATTCAAGGGTACGGCTGCTACCCATCCTAGCGAACCCCACGACATCTTCGGACTGTGTTATTTGGACACGGGTTTAGACAAGCAGAAACCGGGAGGGTAAGTTGGCTGTGTTGACCGTATGGTAAGTTGATTAAAATATGTACGGGTCGAAAGCTAAAGTTGGCAGTCTAGTACCGGGGTATAATGTCCCATCCTTCTATAACCCCAGCGACGACCACGCTGATGCAGAGTATGACGTGCAGTGCTTCTTCAATAAACCCAAGGCGCCGTCGCTGTTACCCAAAAACTCCATGTCCATGCGATATCAAAAAGGGTGGTATACCACAAAAGGAAAATAGGAAACCGACTTGCCGCCGCCAAACTCGGTATTAGTTCAACCTCGTCTCCAGTCCTCGCTGTACCCTTCCAAGCACCATCACATCACCTCCTCGAGCATCAGTGGAACCTGCCCACCGGTTCGGGTTATACCCCAAGTACCCTGACCGTTCGGCCATGTCGCCCAAGTCGGCATTATCCAGCATTTGGCTGAAAGAGTGGTCACGTCGGTGTACCGCCGGTTGGACGTTGCTCTCCGGCGTCCGGTCTGGCGTGATATTCGGGTCGGCAAACACGTTGATGCTCACCGAGCTGGGCTCGCGGTGCTGCCGGGGTGTCTGCGGCAGGAGCCCGTTATCGTGGTTGACATAGGGCATGTCGACATATTGCGGTTGTTCGAGGTTGCCGTATCCGCCATACACAGGGGCGATCTGAGCCGCCGGCCCCGGCGCCGCCGCCGCTGGGACGGCCAACATCCCCGCAGTTTGCATCCCTCCCGCCTGCATCCCCCCAGCTTGCATTCCACCGGCCTCTGGAGTGTTGGCAGCCGAGGCTATGAGAGCCCCTGTTACCGAGTCCGGGTCTTCGGGATACTGGGGTGGGGTGCGTGGGCCTGGGTTTCGGGCAAAGTCGCTGCGGAAACTGTTATCCGCCATGATCGGATTGCTGATCAGGTTTCCAAAAGATGAGGTCGATCGTGATAGTTTCGGCGGGCTGCCGGATCCGGCCGCTTCTTCCTTCTTTTGCTTCTTTCGGAAAAAGATAAAGGCGAAAACGGCAGCGCCGATGACGACGACGGCCGCGGCTGTCGCACCACCGGCAATGGCAGCTACCGGCGGGCCGCTGCTTGAATCGCCTGTGTTGTTCGACGAGTCTGCCGTTGCGTTTGAGTCTCCAGCAGAATCTGTAGTATCTGCTGTCGGGCTGGCGCCGCCCGTGGCGCTGGTTTTGGCGCCACCGGTGCTGGTAGGGCCCGGTTTCACCGTCTTTGTCTGAAAAGGAACTGCGTTCTGGTTTTGGTCCCTGGCACACTGGCCGTCTCTACACGAGTACCCAAATGGGCAGCACTGGGTGCCGCAGCGCGCCAGGGTTCCCCCGAGAGCGGTCGTCTTGACGACGGCGTCGGGGTTCTTCTCGCCATCTTGCAGCGCGATGTCGCAGGGGACTGGCTGGATCCTCAAGCAGTCTGCGCCTTCTGGACAGCAGAGAACCGTCGTATTCCCGGCGAGCGCGATGCAGGTCTCGCCGGTCTTGCAGCAGAAGTAATCGGGAAAATCGGCGTTCTTACACTGGTCAAAGTTCCGGGCGCAGCTTGATTGTCGGGCGAACAGTTCATGAATCGGCACTGCCGATGCGGCTGCATGTACGGCAGCTAATACAGCCGCCCAAAGCGCGAGGTGGCGCCTGGGCATCCTGGATCCCGAGCACCTATATGCTGGTAGCTGTCTGAGCGGATGAGTCTTCAGTTGACCCGAGGGAAGGAGATGCGGCGGCTAGCGGTTATGACGAGCCTCCGATTCCAATGTTGGTGGTAAAGAGGACAATGGGTTCCGTTGCGTTGGGTCGGCCCGCTCGGTGATAAAGAGGCATAGGGCTGATCAGATAATGCGGGTGAAGAGGCGTAGCCGTGGCTAGTTCGCACAAAGCAGCGAGTCCCTTGTTGGCGTTGGCAATAATGAGTCAACGTCGGTCGCTCTGGGAATACCGCAAAGGAGGAGAGACGAAGACGGTGCCATAAGGACAAGCCCGGCAGAGCTTGGGGGAGAGAAAGGAAGAATCAGGAAACGGGGGCCGGGCACTCGCCGCGGGGGTATATCGAGAGACAAGATCAAACAAGAACGTCAGAAGCCCGCCGAGGAGGGATATGACACACGCACGTCCGGTTGGTCTTTTGCAAAGAAACAAAACGTCGGGTCCGATGGGGTGGTCGGGAAACAATGCCAGGTCTCCAAGCCCATGTCCAACAGGGCCATCCACCCATCCATCCTACGGTACGGTGGAGTGGTGGTGGGCGGCGGGTTCAGCGGCGGTCCATGTAGATCGACTGGCCGCTGGCCGCTGGCCGCTGGCCGCTGGTCGCTGGATGGTCGCGGGCCCTGCCGAGAAAGTCCATGGTTCTCTCTAGTTCATGCCAAATCTATCCGATGACAGCATGACAGGGGAATCTTGGGCGCCAGTTGGCCATCCGGTTTCCCGATGGCCAGATGCGAGAGCAGAAAAGCTGGCAAAGGCGCTGCAGACCCTTGTCCCATGGTCGCCTAGGCAAGTCCAGACTCAGTCTGCTCTGTCTTTGGCAGTGGCCATTTGGAAAATGGATTTTACCCAATCCATAGTGTGAGGCGGTGCATCGTTCGTTGTTTTAGGAATCCGGGCTCCCGATCGATGACAGGTCGCTGTGAAGCGCCGATGGCCTTTCCGACAGACCAGATGACCCTGAAGCAGCGCGAGTGGTGAGGAAGACTTCAAAGCAGTTGGGTCCTGCCGATAGCGTTTTGAGAAGGGTCGCAATGGGCCGCGACCGCTGTCCTGATTGGACAGCCACAGGTGTCACTTCTATTTTCGGTGCAGCGGTTGGATGAGATGCGGCGCCAGATCTTGATGGCCCGTGCTTGATTCCACCAAGTGCACGTGCCAATCAATGGGTCTCGCTGATTGCCAAGCACGATGCCAGGCACCGCCAGGCACAGCCCACTTTTTACCGCCGAGCAGTTCTTTGAAGCGCTTGCTGTCGGCACTTGCACCCTGCAACCCGTAACGTAACCCTCAACCCTCAACCCATCTTCAAAACCGAGGCGGTCGATGTTTCTCGGCCAAAAGAGGCCTCTTATGACGTCTAAGAATTGAGAATTGCAGGTAACTAATTCACTGATATTGAGACTCCCCTCCCCTCCTCAACTAGGTCGCCACGTTGGAGACCCAGCGTGGCTTGGGCGTCGTCAGTGTCGCCTTGGGTGCTTGGGTGTCCATTCGGCCGCTCTCTCCTCGACCCCGGCGTACCGCCAAAGGTTGACTTTAGGTAATTGAGTGTCCCTCCCGACCTCGTATCGATGCTGCTGTTGACTCACCGAGGCGATTGAGGGAGCCGACTATACTCGTACTTACAAACAGTGAGGCAAGAAAGATGACGAGTCTTAATAATTAACCAAGATCATAGCGGCCGTCGTTTGGGCCGTAGGGCAGTCGGCACACCTCAGCAGGCCACCAAAGAGGGCGGTAAGGCTGCTACGTTTCAAACCTCGGACGAAACAGCCTGGTGGCCCCGACCCAACCCTCAGGCATCGTTTTTTGTGTTGGTTCAACCTTGTGGAAGCTTCATGGAAGGAAATGCCTCCATCCCAATCTACAAACACTTTCCCTGGCGGTGATCGGCCATCAACTGTCCGGTCAGCGGTCATAAGTATGAATACTACCCATTTTTTCTTCTGACCTTGAGGCCGTCCAACATCGTAACGTAGATCAAGAGCACAGCAGTCGTATAGCGTTTCTCCTACCCCGTAAAAAGTAAACTTTTCTATTTCTCTCCCGTAACAACAGTCAAACAGCCATGCATCAGCTGCGACACCATACAAGCGCCGAAGTGCCGCAGTGCTTTGTCGTAGAAAACACAACAGAGGATGACAGTACTACAGAAGAGTGGCACCAAACCAAGAACCCGCTCGTATTCTAACACCTTTTCTGTCCCCCCTCGAGCACAAGCACACCGCCATCTCTTCCAGGGCACCGGCGTCAAGAAGTTGCGGCTAGCACGCCGAGGTCGGACGGCACCAGGCATTGTGCTCGCCTACGCCGTGGTTGCACCACCGCCTCGTGGTGGCGGCTCCTCGGGTAGGTGCCGAGTGTGTACGTGCAACTCGAAGTGAAAGGGCAGCGGGTAGTCCAACCAACCAGTAATGGGGTTTTAGTGGTCGAACTCTGTACCGGGATTCATGATCCAGGTCATGATTCGGGTTGTCCTAACTTGTTAGACTTCAGAAGCGGTCACATTGCAAAGTCACCATAAGCAAAAGCACAAGAGAGTATTGATCAGAGTCCTTCATTCTTTTGATCTCAGCCAACTTAGGCGGGTATAATCCCCATCACTACTTGTACATTCACCTCATCCCCTGCGTGACAACTCAACTCCGATCCAAGCCCGTGGTATCCCCTTCAAGCCCCATGACCTAAAACCCGAAAAACTCCTCATCATGCATGCTTCTCAAGACCCTGTATATATACCGGGGAGACTCCAGATATTAACAGTCCAGGAAAAAAAAAAGGAAATATAAGAAAAAGAAGGAAATATAAAAAAGAGAAGAAAAGAACGCCCGGGATGCAATGCCCGCCAGCCCAGTCCAAAGGCTGCCGGACACCCAACTCCCTCTCTCATCCTCCCACCCCGTCCAGAATCCAGTGTTGTTCGTCCAGAAAAGTAACTCTTGCTCTTTCCCCTCCCTCTCCATAACCACTTGCCTCGCGGCAACTTCTAGCAGCCCGAGTGACAGAATGAAAGTAAGTGTGTGTGTGTGTGTGTGTGTGTGTGTGTGTGTGTTCAGAATAGTAAGAAAAAAGAAAATCAAGCTGAAACAGAAGGAGGCCATTCCCGCCACAGTGTTGTTGTTTTTACCATGCAGATGACGTTGAATGCCTCTCTTCAAGATGTTCCAGCCAGCATTGAAGATGTCGGTTTTGAGGGACTTATTCAAGTCAAGGGATAGTAAGATGATTGTTTTTTTTTTTTAAACGAGCAGGTAATCCCAACCTTTCATCTGCATGACATCCCGCCAGTGGATGAACTGTGGGGGCCTCCTGGGGAGCGGATGCTGACCCGTCGGCGGCGGCCGCCGCGGGCGAGGAAGAGCCGACCGGTTGCTGGGGGGCGGCGGCGGCGACGACGTCGTTCTGGAGCCAGACCTCGCGGAGCAGGCAGGTGACGCGGCCGAAGCTGCCAAAGTTGGCGAGCTCGCCGAGCTGCGCGACGCGGTCCTCGAAGAAGGCGCGGAACGACGACCCCGCCAGGCTGGCCGAGCCGCCGATGAGGTACACCCACGCGAGCGAGCGGTCGAAGCCGTTGGTGCCCGAGGGGATGTGGTGGAGCACCCCCGTGAGCTTCTCGACCAGGCCCATGCAGCTGGCCTGCGTGGGCGAGAAGCCGGGCACCAGGCTGCAGAGGTAGATGCGCGCGGCGAGGCGGAAGGCCGCCGTGATGTTCTTGCTGAGCTGCTTGGGGCTGAGCGAGCCGTTGGCGTTGAAGGGCAGCACGGGCGCCTCCTCGCCCATCTCGGTCAGGCCGATCTGGTCACCGAGCACGTGCACGTGCTGGCAGAGCGTGATGTTGTCCATGCCGTTCTGCTTGAGCGCCTCCAGGCAGGCGATCTCCGAGATGAGGTACATGACCCGGTCCTCGCACCCCATGAGCTCGCGGAGCCCGAGGGATGGGTTGGTCGGGGACAGGTGCTTCTCGCGGTAGGTGTGCGCGAAGATGGGGGCGCGGCCTTGCATCGTCGCGCCGAGGATGTCGATCCACGCCGTGAGTGTCATGTTGAAGGGCGTCTGTGCCAGGGGCGCGTTGGGGTCCGACACGATGCGCGGGAGGTCGAGCTTCAGGACGAGCGACTCGACAGCCTGGAAGTGCTGGTGCCACGGGATGTCGGGGAGCGAGTCATCAAAGCGGCCAACGCCGCACTGGAAGAAGATGAGGCCGAGCGCGGCCTCGAGGATCTGCTGGTGGTTCTCGTCCCGGTTGAGCGCGTCGCACAGCGACGAGATGGTCGCGTACCGGTGGCGCATGATGTCGCCGTCGATCTCTTCGCCCTGCAGGCTCATGGCCGCCTTGTAGTGCTGCGCCGCGATGCTCAAGCAGCAGTGCAGATAGCCCTTGTTGTTTTGCAACGCTGGGAGGATGAGGTCCGAGCTGACTGACCCGTGCTGGTTCGACTCGAGGATCGGGAAGATGGCCGGGAGGACGAATTGGATGAAGTGATCAAGCAACCTCTGGTCGCCCTCGTCGAGCTCGATTGCTACTTGCCTTGAGGCGGTCGATGGCCCGTGGGAGAAGTCGAAGAAGTTCACATTGAGCGTCTCCTCGGTGAGCGACTCCCTCCGCTCCGAGTACACCTGCTCCGTCCATTCGCCTTCCAGAGGGAATTGGGGTAGAACGGTGCCCGGTGGCGGAGGAGTGGCGTAGGTGCTGAAAGTCGAGGTCGTCGATTCGCGCAGCGTCGGCACATCGTTGATGAACATCTGCCTTTCTGTCTTGACATCGATCTCGTAGGGCGAGTATGGCGAAAACATGAAGTCGGGGTGCATTTGTGGTGTGAAGGGCCCGTACTCGTGCGAGCTCTGCGGGCTGTTGAAGTTGTAGCCGAAATGCGAGTCGATCGAGCCCGATCGCGCGCGGTCCAGGGGATCCGAGAAGGTTGCCGATGTCGGGAGCGAGTGCGAAAGGCCCGGTGGTGAGCCGACGGCGGTCTGGATCGTGTGCGTGTGTGTTGACTTCTCCGACAGCTTCTTGCGCTTGATGATCATCTTGATGTCCTCCTTGTGCTTCCTCCTCATGTCGTTGTTGCTCCACCACATCGGCCTCTTGTATTCGCATGCTAGACCGAGATGCTTGCAAGCCGTGCACATGGGCGAGCCCTCGTCGCACTTTTTCCGCCTGAGCCTGCATGTGTAGCACCCTTCATCACCGGCATGGTTAGCTTCCCAATCCGGCAGGCAGTTGTGTGTAGGTGAGAGTGAGAGAGAGAGAGACAAACCTGTCCTTGAACGGCGATGCATCTGTGCCTTTTGCTTGGTGTTGGCATTGGCGCCGGCCTTGGAGGCCGACTTCGCCTTTGTTGTTGTTGCGGTAGCGGCAGCCATGTTGACTTGCGATGCCTTCAGGTGGGTTCCTTGGTGGTTGGGGGGTAGTGTTGACATTTGTATCCTCCAAGGGTGTGGGGGTGGCCGGGGGGCAGAGGGGGTGTGTGATGCCCGGGGGGGTGTGAGTCTGGGGCTGGGCCGAGCAAAAGCGGGAGGGCGAGTGAGCCGGGGGTCCTCGCTCCTGGTCAAGGGCCAGATGCCCAAAGGGGGGGCAAAATCGAGTTCGAGGGGGGAAGGGGGGCCTTGTCCTGGTCGTCCAAGTTCCCAAACCCTCCAAGCACTCGTCGAAAACTCAAATTGTCGTCGAGACTATTAGATTACTGTATCGTCGTGTGAATGACTGACTGGATCCAAGCAAGTCCGGCTTGCGTTCTGGAATCTGAAAAGTGGATAAGATGGTGTAAAAGCTGCCGGTGTCGATAGTGTTGGATATCGATCTGGTTGGACGGCGCAAAGTATAAAGTGTAATTAAAAGAGAGAGAGAGAGATAGAAGAGTCTGTTGACTGGACTGGACTGGACGACAACACCTGGATCTCCAACTTCGTTTCTGGGCCTGCTCGAGGGAAGGGAAACATTTGGGCAAGTTGGAGAAGTGGGCAAATTCTTATATCTTAGCCCAGCTCAAGTCTGCCAGCCCACCCAGCCTGCAGTGATTTACTGTTTCTATTTTTGAACATGATGGGCTAAATGACCGCTTCCTCTATTTAACCCATTTTGGGATATTTGCCCACTTTCCAGCCCAGAGTGCCTGCATGCGCGTCCGTCCGCCGATCGAAAGAGGTCGGTGTCTCTCGCTGTGCGCTCGCACTGGGGGCGCGGGAGGACAGGGGTACGGGGCAGCGCGCTTATTGGTGCTGGTGAACGGAGGCGGCCACTCGGCACGCCTCTCTCTTCGGAAGGGAACAGCCCAACATGGACCCCACTGTGCTCTGCAGCAAGTGGGAGGGTCACATCGACGGCAGGGGTTCAGAAGTGGTGGGCACACCGTCTCCACGTCGGCCGCCGGGCACGGAGCGAGGTGGCTGCAGGGGTGGGAGCCTGTCGAGCGATTAAACAGGCAGCTCAATGCATCTCGAGGCCGACCAGCCCGGCCACTCATTGGCACGGGGACTCGGCCGACTGGAGGGAACAATGGAAGAGCGGGAACTCGAAATGTCACCCGCAAGTCTGGCTAAACTCGCTTTGGACAACCCGGCCGCGGCGGACACTTGAGGCCAAAAGCACTGTAGATCTCCAAGCATGGGGGGGCCGTCCAGCTGAGCACGCGGACAGCAGCTTGAACGACGGTGGTGGAGTGTAGAACGGCCGTCCCTGTTGCACAGACAAGAACAAAGACTCATCGCCAAAGGCACTCTTGAAGATTTCGCGGTTGAGCCAAGACTGACGAAGGTCCTGTGTAAACAGTCATTGCCTGAAGGCTCCCCGGGACCGAGGGAGAGAGGCCAGATGCCCGTGGCCGTGTGGGTGGGCGGCGGGCCAATGGATTCTCATTCGCCCTCTCTCCACTTCTTGCCGGTATCCCCCTTGCAACTCTGGTATCGATAGAGTGCATGTCCAGCGCCGCAGCCGGTCTCTCTCTCCCGAACGGCAAAGACCTGTGTGCGGGCTCCCGCAGCTAGTTTGGTTGTGCCTCGCTGAGATACGGCACAGCAGTGTTGCCGCCGGTGGATCTCTGGCTCTGATTCTGGCTCTGTAATTCCGCAATCTCCCGTCGGATAGTGACCCGGGCCAGCGGCGAAGAATCTTTACATACACTATTGATCTGCGCGGAGCGAACTCCTCACCGACGACGTTTTCGCCGGATGATTTCGGTGTCAACGCCGAATTCCCTCGAGGGCGACATCGGCTTTCCCTTTGTGAAAAGACTGAAATCTGAACAGTTAGCAAATCAGCAGTGTGCTGCTGGCAGTCAGATTGGGGATTGGTCGCCTCGCAAGTCAGTCGCGGCATCTGACTGGACAGGGTTGACGGGGACGTCTATCATGCGCGGGAGACCCTGAAGGAAGAAGGCATGGCCGGGGGACAAGGGCATTCTTCGTGGGACGAGTACCGAATGGGCGGAAGTATTCACTCGTGGCCGCGTGTTACGCTAGGTACCTAAGTCATGCGAAGAATCTGCGCCACCATGGCAAGATTTCCACGATGCTGTGTGGTAGCGGCGTAGCATCTCCGACGGCCGCGCGACATCGAGTAGGAGGGGAATGGGATGTCAGCATGGCGGTGGTGGTGCGGATTAGTGCGTGCTTGTGTGCGTGTGTGCGTTGTGTGGTGGTTGCAAAAAAAGCGAAAAGTGCGGTTGACGACGTTGATTCGATGGAACTGAGGTTGGTCAGTGTGACGGCAAATCGCTCGTGCATATTAGCATGCGGCCCGAGAGGCGGCAACCAACCCAGATTGGCTCGCGCATCAAGATCAGCCAGGGTCAGTAGCAGGGATGGGTGCGCTAGCGGATGACGCTTTGGCCAATAACGCGGGACGAACAGGGGGATTCCAGATGGACCGGGGGCAGGCCGCGGGGCCCAGGTCGGATGATCCGCCTCGAGCGCGGAGGTCTTGGCTTGGCACGCAATTTTGACTTTTGCGGGATGAAGGCACGGCCGCGGGCGGGTCGGGGAAAGAGGGCAGGGCAGCCAGCCTTGTCCCCGCCGCTCTGGCCATTTCGGTCGGATCAATTCCATGCTGTAGGCATTGTAGGGTCCCTGTTCACTTCGGTCGGTCTGATAACTGCTGGTCAACGGTTCGTGAGCTGTAAGTGGGCGACGTCGTCGGGGGTCTCGGCTCTTCGGTACGTGTTGCGAATTCCCAACTCGGGTCGTCGAAATCGCCAAAGTCAAAAATCCAACTGCCAAAAACCATCAGACATAAAACCAACGCAAGCGCCGGCTGCTGGATACGGCGATGGCTTTATACCTGGCGATCCATGTATCCTGCGTAGTTGGCGGTTTAGGGCTGAGTGCGTTTCGACATGATTGTTCTCGGAGGATCCAATGCCAATGTGACAATGTGTGGTGGTCGTTTGCTCGTCCGTTGATGGTGTGGCCGGTGACTGGCCGTTGACTGGCCGCGGGGAACCAGGAAACTGGGATAATTAGCCGCCCTCTGTCCATTTTTGGATAATTAGCTCCTGTTCCCCTCATAGTGCCAAATTTGCCCTCGGGTGTGATGGAATTATCCCGCATGCATACTTGGGCTAATTATGTCGGCCAGCTCAGCTCAGCACACGAAGTGATGGCGGGCTCGGAGCCAGCTCGGCCAGCAAACGATTGGCGCTATTTTTATTTTGCCCATCGATGGATGATGTGCTCATCAAATGCCATTTTCAGGTGACCAAATTAGCCCAGAATGACAACAGGGTTAATTAACTGCTCAAAGCTTGACAATGGACTTGTCTTTCGCACGGTGCTGGCCGAGAGCTTGTCCATTTCCCCCGAGATCAAAGCTCTGGATTCGAGAAACTCCACCCCGTCTCGCTGCGCTTGCCAAGGTCGCTACTACCAAGAATTGCATCGTCGTCAGGTCGCACAAAATCCTCTGGCCTCTTTGAATTTGTCAACCCCTGCCATCTATCACCACTTTGCACCCCCATCTTCACAATCGGCTTCACGGCTAAAGAGAGAAAGGCCCGATGACGGTGCCGGCGGGATTTGCATTTGAGAAGTGAATACCACGCTGGGGCGGAAAAAGCAATTGTTGCGCGATGCTGACATCGGACGATAACTGACAATAATCTGTGATGATTATTCCCTCGCAGTCAAGGTAAAAGGTCAAATAATCAGCATCCGTGTCTTCAGAAAAGGGTTGATTGACTGCGGGGTTGAATGAAGGTGACAAATGTGCATCCGACCCACGGTCAGGAGCGGCCCGGTCAATTCCATCTTGACCGCGGTAGCCGAGCGGCACATGTCGGATCTCTTCCGCCGACTCAACGGGCTGATCTCCTTGCTCTGAGGGCTTTACGGAATTTGTTATTGTTTTAGAGCCGCTAGCCCCCTAGTGACTCGCTGAACTATCGTCATTCCGATGATTTACGGGCTATTGAGATTTGAAACGGCTGGCAATGGCGGGGAATTTTGAGTTTGGAGAAGATTTGACGATCTCGACAGGGAGGTGTGAATTTATCCCCATCCTCGTCCATCGCATCTTTGCCCTGTGGAAAGACAACGCCGCTGCAGATCCCTCCGAGGACCCCGGCTTGCCTCCGGCGCCCGTGCGTTTTTTTTTTACCTTCGAACTTGGCAGCTTGGGCATTGACGGCCCGGAAAGCTGAAAGGAACTGCGTGGTCTGCTGGTTCAAGATCCGCGTGAAGACCCGGGGTTTGAACCCGGCTGAAAACCCACCTGCGCCTCTCTTGCGCGGCCGTTACCACAGACCCCCAATTACTGGATGTTTATGCTCACCTGATCAATGCCGTGGCAACTGACTCTGAGATGAGCCGCAATGCGCGAAAACATCTCTCTAAGACTCTCTCTCAACAAAACGAAACTTTCACAGAAGTCCCGTGTTAGTGACTCCCTTCCTATTCTGGAAGTCAGCTCGGAGTGACCACCGGGTGGGTCTCCGACTCGAAAGCCCCTCCACAAATCCATTTTCAAGGATGAGCAAGCGAACACCCTCCGAACTGGCTTGGAGACCCACTCGGCGATGCACCAATGCACGTCGTCACCGATAGCTTCCGTGACGGGAACATGGATCGTGCTGAGAGATCCGAACGTGGAGATGGAGATGTCAGTGTTGCAGGGGTGCATGGATTGTGGAGGCTGTTGGTTGCTTGCAGATGTGATAAGGAGATTAAATCTCGAATTGAGGAAGACGTGCGTGATGTTCGTCACATATCGGACGGGATGAAAGAGGATTTCCGTGGTTTCGAGTCTCGACTCCTTTTTTTGCCATTCACAATGCTTTTGTTCGGATGGTGCATTGCTTCGTACTAGACCACACACGTGCAAATTCTTCATGCTAGCGACGAGTGCAGACCCCAGGAACCTGCTGTCATTCGACCTTTTTTGAGACAGGGGTTTATCGACGGTGCGACGCTGCAGGCTCTGGCCCCCTCCAAAACTGGCCACTCACACCCCAAAGTCACCACTTCGGAGTGTGTCGCGATATCAAGCTGGCCAACCACCACACTTGGCTGCCCTCGCTGGTCGCAGACCCTAAAAGTCATGTGAATGAGTCAAATATGAAGAGAAGCGTTCCCACCACTGATTCGACCCGAGCTCTGTTCGTGCATGAACGGGTGAAAAATATCGAGACCAAAGTGGAGGCCGAAGGACTCGAGGCATGGATTTACTTAGACTCATCGGAGGCATGGAGGCTATCGTCGGTCTTGCCCCAGACGGGAAACCGCAGCAGCATGCTGGATCACGGGTGACATAGCTCACGTGGGTACCAGTCCTAGAGCGGGGCGACGGCGATAGCCGACGGCATTCCGCTCCTCGCATCCTCCATTCGACCAGCCGTTGGGCACCAACCAAGAAGACACCATCTAAAACCTGCGTCTGGCGGTCAAGAGAATCGATGCAGCGCCCGAGCCCGCAAGAGTAAGTCCGGGGTGTCAGCGACGATGGATATGCAGAGAGCCGCTAGAATCTGCGTTCCCGTGCTCGACCGACCGTTGGCCGCCCCACACGGAATGCATTGTTCAATGTCTCACACATGGAACTCGCCCCTCGCTTACTACGTAGGGAAGTTCCCTCAGGCCCGGGCTCGAGCATCTGTGTGTAAGTCAGCCTGCGGGCAGCCGTGAATGGAAACGAGAAAACAGCCATAATTGAGACACAGGTGGCCAAACAGTGTGTCCCCGAATACACAACGAAGGCTCCTCGAAGCTCACGTACGACGTCTCAAGAAGTCGGTGTCTTCTCTGTCCCACGTGGGGCAATCCTTGATGGTGACTCGACGGGGTAGCGTAGCGAGCACCCCGCGTGGAGCAAGAAATCCCATAGCATCAACCGAATGCCATTGAGGGGTTAACGTTTTTCTTCCCGCAGAGAGAGGGAATGAGAATGGTGCGTTGCGGCTCACAACTCCGGTTTCGCCGACCGAGGGAACTTCTGGTGGAGCTGATAACCATGCCTATTATGACTGAGACGTGTGCACTTGATGAAGATCGTGATGATCCGGAGGTGGGCGTGATCGCCCTGGGCGAGCTAACTACACTACTGCAGAAGGATCTTGCTTGCTAAATCTGGAAGCTAACTCGGAATGCCATCGGATCTGAGCACAAGACCTGCTTCTGTGCCCGGAAGCTGTTCTGCGCTAGCAGTCACCTGAGAATGCTCGCCTCCGTTGCTCCCCGAAAGTTGGCGGCTCACCGCCGCCAAAAGAGGCTGACGATGCTGAATTTCAAAATGCCATTTCGCAGCTGTCCAGTCCCAGCCGTGGTTGAGCCTTGTCCGGCCGTCAGCTTCGCAGATCATGGCACGCCGCCCCCGTCATGTGCCGGAAGAAAGGTCATATTTGCCTTCGTTTCTCAGCTGGGCGTTCAAGCAGGGCGGGGTAGCCGGCCGGGGGAGGCCTGTATGAACAGGGGATGGGATGACGGCCGAGTGCATGCAACTCCGCACGCCATGAACTGCCATGGCTGGTGAATGGCCGAAAAACCTCACAGCAACCTTCCTGCGGGAGCCCCAACGTCAGCCGGACCGTCCCATGGTGACCGCGACTTCCGGACGGAAAACCGCCGTGCGAGTTGTCGATCAAGACATCAGCCACGGCCAATTGACTTTAGTTTCTTTGCAGACTCATATCTTTATCCACCAAATTGGGCATCGGGAGGTCCGGGACGACCCAGCGAAAGACGTTAGATTCTGGCCACATTTTCATAGGCTTAGCCCGGAGAAGGGTGACGGAAAAGCCAGTCGGTCCCCGCAACAGTGCAAGTCGACGACAGCGGGCCCCGGGCAGTGGGATTACCGGTCTCAGGGAGCTGCCCAGAAAGAGGCTGGAAAACTGACAGCACAGCAGCTGACGACGCCAACTCATCAACACCGAACACCGGCTCCCTCCGAGGCCTCACGTATGACGTAGAATGTGGCGCAAGAGTTTGAAACTCAACGTCGCCGGCCGCCGTCGAGGCCGGCGGTCCGTAGTTTGAACCTGATCATCGGAGGTGAGGCGCAAGCGGGTCGGCCGGTGAACGGCGGCCGTAGCCGTGCACTTGCTGGATCCCAAAATTCACAGTCCCTCTTGCCAGTGCCAATGGCGAGAGGAAACGGTGCTGGCAGCGAGGCGTGTGAAAAGATCGGCTGGCCAGGACCACCCCGGCTCCTTCCCGCTCTCACGCCTTGACTCCGCAGGCCGGCCCTTCAAGACGCGGCCAAATCAGGCTAGTGTGGGTGACTGGGCGCTTAGACCGTCTATTTTTCGAACCGATTTCTGAGAATCAACCCAATCAGAGAAAAGAAACGTCTGAGAATGGCAGGCACAGCAGTATTTTTCAGCCCAATCAGAGCCAGAGGCGGCCCTCTTTCTCCCTCATCCTGACGACTTGGCATCCCACCCCGGCTAGTTCCCCCACCTCTCTCCCAGACGCTACCCATACCCACCACTTGCACCACACCTCGAGTCTCGCATGGATGCAATGCACCAGCGCGGCCATCCCACAGCTGCCCAACCGGCCCTCGACTTTCGGCCGACTTACCGCTCGCCCTGCTCCAACTCGGTGGTTCTCGCAGGTCGAGCACGCACACACTGCTCTAATTATACTACCTGGAGCAGGGAAGGTGCTGGTGGGGGGCGCGAGCCACAGTGGTCAAGAATGGCAGGCGCAGGGCGGGCTATTGCGGGCATGGCAAGCATGGCAGGCATGAGACAGGGTGGTAGCTGCTGCGAGTGCTCCCCGCAAGTGCCGGCCGAGGGCACACTGCACCACTGGACTCTCATGGGGCTCGAGCCACTGTCCCGTCCGGCACAGTGCCTATACCTGGTAAAAAGGTTCCCGTCCTGGCTCTGCTCTCTTGGTTGCCCTCCCGCCTCACCTCACCCCCAGTAACTATCACACATATTGATCCCGACCCCCCGCCGCTGGTCACGGTTTACAGGGGACCCCTCTCCATTGTTGCTCGTTTCTCTTTTCCCTCCCCCCCCCCCCAGTTCATTAGCTCAACTATCCGCCATCGGTGTCGTGCCGTCTCGGATCAGATCACATCAGATTTTGTGACCCGCAACCGTTGCGTTCCCATCCCGGCGCTTGTGCATGCATGCCCGCTGCTTGTTGCGGTGAATCCCCCCGACATACATAACTTCCGAGGGACGCCCGCCCGTGGCCCCACCCTTCCGGAATCTCTCCTCCCGGTTCTGGTTTTCGACAGTAATTAAGCAGGCACACGAAGCTAGACTCGTCCTGTCTGTTTGCAAAGGTGGCAGTGACATACGATATCACAAAACGACCAGAAGATCTCTTATCAACTCTGGGTGTAAACCGGAGATCGCCGGCTACGGCAATAGAATCAACGACACTTCAGCGTCTGAGCGATACACACCGATATGGTACGCTCGATGGGCATTGGTATAAATGGGAATTGTGCGGGGAACTAACAATGGCACAGGAAACAGTACGATTCGCCGCGATAGAGCGGCAGCCTCAGGAGATGCGAGAGAAGGCGCGGGGGCGGGATGTGTTCTTCTCGACGGCAAGGGTGGAGGAGAGGCCGTACTCGGTATACACCGAGTTCATGGAGTCGGATACCGAGATTGAGCAAGAGGACGATCACGAAGACGACTCGGAGGTGTACAGCGAGTTTGGGGATCTGGAAGGGATAGACGAGGGCGAATGCTCACCTCGCATCAGCATCGGCTCGGTAAGTTCCCCTGACAGCAACGGTCAAAAAAAGCTTGGGATGGCTTACTCATTGGCACTTAGTCCGGGGGGCAACCAAGTTTCACGACACTATCAACACAGGACGAGGTTCACACACCCAGCTCGCTGCGGCACCGGCCGTTTTTGTTCGACCATGACGCAAAGCAGCAAGTGGAGGGACCCAGAGGACCTCACTTGTTTCGCAGTTCCATGTCCTCGGCGCAGTCGATCGAGCTTCAGCATGCGCTCTCACTCTCACCCGTCACGCCGAAGAACCCGCATCTGATGGACCTGCAACTTCAAAACTTCCATCCTACTCCCCTCCCCAGGAAGAGGCGCGACACCGGCCCCTTTCAATTCACGGACGAGGAACTTGACACCTCGGCCCTTCCCGACTGGACCCCGGAAATGGTCGCCCAACAAATGCTCAACGCCGGCGTTGAGCTTGCCGCCTCGGAGAGATTTGTGGAGAACGATATCAACGGCGCCATCCTCATCACGTTGAAGTTTGAGGACCTGAAAGAGCTTGGGATCGCCTCGTTTGGCGTGAGGACACAAATATGGGACGAGATCCACAAGATAAGGGATCTCAAGAAGCCGGAGCCAATGCCGGAGACCCCTATCGAAGACGAGCCGGACAAGAAGGTGAAGAGGGAGCTGCGAAGGCAGGAGAGCGGTGCTGGAAGCCGAAAGCAAAAGCCGCGCGTAAAGGTGAACGACGTCATCTCCCCTCTGGAATCAGTGTCGATCGTGGGCATTGAGCAGGTCCTGCCAAAGCCCCATACCTGCTCGAAGGGGGAGAACTGCGCCAAGTGGAAGCGGAATCAGCGGTTGATGGAGGCTTTCAAGAAGGATCACCCCTTCATCAACGACAATGGTATCATCATGGTCGCTGGCGACCCCGGAAACCCGGAGACGGCCGGCGCCATTGTAGCGAGCGATGACTTCCGTCCCGTATCAGACGCTGTGCCCTCGGTGGTCGCTTCGTCGGATGTCATGGGCCCAGGCAGCTTGCCGCCCCTTCAATATCTTCAGGAGGCCGCGCTACGCAATCTCAAAGCAAGAGACCCCCAGGAAAACGTTCGGCAGTTCCTCGACTTCCAACGCCCGCACGCCGGCGCCTCCAGTGAGGTTCCTCCGACACCCCCGTTTGAGATCTTCCCCCAGGGCAACCAGAAAGCGGCACACGCAGGACTCCGGGGTCTCCCGAAGCTTGCTATCCCTTCTCAAACAGCGGTCACCGCTCAGAGGCGGGAGCCACAATCGGCACAGGCCCGGTCTGCTCGCCCCGTATCGCAAGTCATCCCGTCATTCCGGGAGCTCAGCCCGTCCTCCGATGAGGGTACCCCCACCCCCACCGCACCGTACCGGTTCGGCACTCCCTTCTCAGACATGGATGTTCCTATCACGATTACAGAGCTTCCTCCTGTCTCGCGCGACTTCTCCCAGTCAGTCCCGCCAGACATGAACTACCGTCACAACCCGGCGCCCCGTTCCATGTCGCGCAACACCATCCGCCGGCCGTCCTTTCCCGTCATGCCGGCGCTGGACGAGAACTCGATCGTGACTCCCCTTACCAAAGCACCCAACGGTTCTTTCTCTCAGCGCGTCGGTCAGCGTCCGCTCCAAGCACCTCCCCGTGCTCAATACCCCTGGACGCAGACGGAGCGCCCGACCCTCGAGAAGGCCGTCCCTCCCATGCCAGGCTCCGCGGCCACCAGCACAAACACCACCACCACCACCAGCACGGTAAAAACGGTCAACATCAACGGCCGGCTGTCCCCCATCAGCGACAAGCCCCAAGTCGACATGACCGGCGGCAGCGCCATCTCCTATCAGGGCCTGATGCGCAAGCGCAAGACCAAGATGCTTCGGCACGAGTGGCACGAGCACTTCTTCACGCTCCGCGGCACCCGCCTGACCATGCACAACAAGGACGCCGCGACGGCCGCCGCCGCCACCGCCAACATGAACAAGACACTTGAGTACATCGACATTGACGACTACGCCATCGCATGCGGCGGCGCCGCCAGCGGCTCCAAGCTGAACGCCGCGTTCAAGGCCATGCACATCCGCCGGAGCAGCGACGACGCCAAGGCCAAGGGCGACGTCGCCGCCTTCAGCTTCCAGCTGATCCCGCAGGACGCCAAGGGCGGCATGCGGCTCAAGAAGCGCGAGAGCGTCGTCCCGGGCAGCGCGTCCTCGGCGGCCGCCGCGGGCAAGGACAAGGACGTGCCGCCTCCCATTGAGGGCGCGGCCAACGGCACGGGCAAGACGCATCACTTTGCGGTCAAGGGCAGAGATGAGCGCATCGATTGGATGCGTGAGCTGATGCTGGCAAAGGCGAAGAAGCAGAAGGGTGAGGGGTTTGAGGTGAGTGTTAATGGGAATATGATTTAGTGGAGGGGTTGGGTGATGGGTGATGGGTGAAGGTTTTGGATTCTGATGGCGGACAAGGGTTTTTTGGATGATGATTGATGACCGGTATATCTGTTTGCGTTTTTGGTTTGGTTTTTCCTTTTTATATCCTTACTCCTTTTGGCTTCTTTCCTTCCTCTCTCTACTCTTCTTCACTTCTTTTCGGGCTCTTCTTTTCTTCTTTTTTTCTTCTTCTCTACCTGTCACGATGATACCTTTTTTCACCTTTTCTCTCTCTTCACACCTCTCCCTCCTGTTCTTTTGTTGTCTCTGCTTCTCTTGAGGGTTATATCCTGGATATCCTGCATGACCTGGCGTGGTTTGGCGTTTGACTTTTTCTGCCACGGCTGGAAGGGGATGAACGGTTTGAGGGACTAGATGCGCGCTTGAGATATGGCAACATATTGACTACACTCGCTTCAATGGATGATGAAATGAATGGTTTGGGATGGGAGTGTTTGGTGGAAATTGTAGTTAGTTACCTATGTTATGTTTAGCTGATATGAAAAGTCTGTGCCTTGAGAACTATCGGAATCTTTTTAACGTGTTCGTGGATGAGTGTTGCGTCCGGTAGGGCTCCCCCCTCAACATAAGTTGCGTTGTGGGCGTTGTTATGAGCTAGTTGTATTTAGTTGATGATGAAAGGTAGATTTTAAATCGTTTAAATTTCTTATTGTGTTAGTGAAAGTGTGTATCAAAATGTTTTAAATTCAGGACGACTCTCTCCTTAAACTTCAAGTTGCGTTCATCCTCAGGAAATGCATTCATCCTAAGTTGTATGATATTAAGCCAAACAATCCCCCCAAAAAATAAAAATCAGGCTTGCCATTACTATCAGAGTGAGAGTTCATATTCACTCCTTGCTCAAGCATGTTAATTGAAACTGTAACGTTAAGATGGCCTGAAGAGCTGCTTCACATTACATTGCAAATGGCCCAGCGAAGGAATTGATGCGTGTTTCGTTTTAGACATGATAAACATACACCCAGAACCTCGTCTATTTTGTACAAGTACATCTAGATGCAGACCAGGAGAACGGCAAATGGGCCTTTTCGCCTCTTCCCAGTCCCACCCACGATAATTATACAACCAACCAACCTAACCAACCAACCCACCCACCCCGTTCAGACCCTTCCTCAACCGACCACAGAACAGCCTTCATGCCCGGGGGACGGGGGCAGGCGAGGAGAGGGAAGGGGAGGAGAGGGAGGGGGCGGGGGCGCCGGCGTTGGCCGACATCTCGAGGCGCTGCAGGTCGGCCTCCTTCTGGACGAGCTCCCAGTCGACGTGCTTCCACCACTTCTCGGCGTAGCCCAGCTTGCCGCGGTCGGGGGCGCCGACGCCGAAGCCGTAGTCCCACAGCCACACGTGCTCCCACGTGTTGATGCACAGCACGGGGACCAGGTCCGTGCCGCCCGGCGCGTGCGCCACCCGCCGCGCCGTCGCGCTGCCCGGGCCCCCGCTGCCCCACCGGCTGCTGCTGCCGGTTCCGTACGCTGTCTGGTCGAGGTAGGCCCGGCCCGTGGCGATGCCGGCCTCGGTGCCGCTGCCGGCGGCGGTGTTCATGTCGTGCTCCTGCCGCCGCCAGTGGGCTGCTGGGTAGGGGGACCCCGCGGCGTAGGTGGTGAGGACCTTGAAGGATACGGGCAGGCCCGGCTGCGAGGTCTTGACGAGCCACACGAAGCCCGGGCCGAACATGCCGGCGGCCGTGTAGACCATCTCCTGGCGGAGGGTGTCCATGGAGCCGAAGGACTGCTCGAGGCGGCTGCGCAGGGGCTCGGGCACCTCGACCGGCTTGGGCGAGATGTGCTTGAAGAAGAAGTGGTTGTTGTGCGCCATGCTGGCGTGGTTGAAGATGGGTGCCGAGCCCGGGTCGCGGGCGGTGCCGAGCAGGATGTCCTTGATCTGGTGGGATTCGTAGTCGGTTTCTGGAGGGTCTGTTAGTCTGCCTGTAGAGACATAGGACAGGAGAGGGAGAAAAGAACACACCTGCTGTCAAGATGTTCAGTTTCTGCAGCAGATATGTCTGGTACTGGGTCCAAGAGATGTTGAAGGCGGCGGGCGACAGGAAGTCGGAAATGCCATTTTGTGTAGCCTCGCCCTTCAGGTCGTAAGAGAGAGGGGCGAGGGCGTGCATGGATCGTGCCTGGCAGGCCAGCGGTAGCAAAGTCGACCTCGCGGGCGCACCGACTCGCGGGCGCATCGCTATCCTTAACCCTGGGCGCAGCATGGTCGGTCTGCGGTGGGTTTTGTGGTCCGGGGTTCGGAGGGTGAAGGAGCCCGGGCGGCGTATCTCTCCTTTTTCTTTGGGGAGGGGTATCGTCGGAAGAGGAGGGCGTTGAGTGGTGTTGAGCGCTGTACTGTCCCGCCCTCGTCGTCGCCGCTTTTTTTGCCGAATCTCGCGGCTTGGGGAACTTTTTTGGTTGCAGGGGGGGTTGCTGGATTCGGCGCCTAAGAATTGAGGCAGGGGAGTGAAGTAGCATACCCTAACCCTTGAACAAACCCCGCAGTCCCCTTGGTGCGGCAGCTCTCACAAACAGACCAAGTTCATTTCACCACAATGGCTTGGAGTCCAACTTTTGGGCATATCTTGCGCTACTCGCTATGGTATTCAATACGCTAATTATCTGTCCTTTACCGTAAAAATACTCCCATCCATGCCTGTTAACTCCGACGCAAATGCAGACTAAGCCAAGTGAACTGTTCGGACACACACCGCCCAACAGCTGGAGCACCGAACCGAGCGAAGCTCTGCCCCGCCTCGCAATGGAATGTCGACAATATGTCTGTTATACAGCCTTCTTCCCTCCCTCCTGGTAGGCTATTAGATGTCGTTCTCAACCATACCCAACACATCCAGCTCCGTCCGGACCATTCTCTCAAATTCCTCCCTATCAATGCCCGACGCCCGCGAGAGCAGGAACAGGCTCCTGATGCTGCGCGATATATGCTGCTTCACACCGAATTCGGTCTGTTCACGGCGCTCGGCTGCCTCCTCGAGCCTCGTGACCGCCTGTGATGCGTTGGAGCTGGCGCTACCAGGGCGCGGATGAGCGAGCACCCACGACTCCTCCTGGCTATTTCGGGAGCCAGCTGAGTGCACTGACTCGGGTTTGATAGGGATAGGCTGAGCTAGCGTTGGGCCATTTTTTGTTGCTCCATTGTTTGTTGTTCCGATGACGTTCGCGGGCGCCGGCCTTTCCAGGCCTTGAGGGGGAAGTGGCCCGACATGTTCGGCGTGCTCCCTGAGGTTCGCTTCCTCGTCGGGATCGTGGTTGTCCATGGCTGGTTGGACCGAGTCGTACTGGGCAAAGTACGCATCCTCGGCTTCGGTAGACTGACCGGGTTGATTATCTGCTTGGGCCGTTTGCGCAGTTGCTCCTGGAGCCGGCGAGCGCTGTACCCCTGGTGTCCTCGATGGCGTAGCGTCGTACCGGGCCCAATAATCGTCATCGTCGTCTTCATCGTCGTCCACCGTAGCTTGCGCGTTCCAACCACTCTTAGTGTTGCTTATGGCACTGGCGACTGACAAACCATTGCTGTTGGATTTTGTCGCCTCAAACAGCCGTTCGGCTTCCGCCACGTCGGGGGAGCCATTGAAGGTATCAAGGGTAGCAGGGCCGGCGACCCCAACCTCACCCACTCGCCAGCCATCACCTCCACCATCGGGGTCGCCGGTGCAGTAGACCAGCCGGAAGAAAAGGTGGAGGTCGTCAAGAACGACCATGGCCTGGAGCGTCTCCTGATCTAGTCGTTTGTATCTGATGTTGGTGCCGTGGTCCCAGTCCACCTCAACCTCGCCAGAAACCGGGTGGGGATCCAAGTCGCCGCTTCGGGCGACACTCGTCAACTCGGCCACCTTGGAAGGATCGTAAGTTAGGAGGCGGACCCATGGTTCTGTGGAAGCCGACGATAATAGCTGGACTCGCTGTCGGAGAATCGGCGATAGTGATGGCAGCACTGTTGTGGCAGGCTCTGTCGAGGCAGCCGCTCCAGGTAGAGCTGAAAGCACTGGTGTCACAGTGTTTTGAACGTTTGGAGGGGCAACATGTGATTGCGGGGGTGGGATGGCCATTGCGATGAATGATCGACCGTGTGTGTGAACGAGCAATGTTAGATTTACTCAGGCCCAATGCGAGGTCCAAAGTAGGTAAAAAGAGAAGAAGAGAAAGCAAGGATATAAACGATGGGATATGATCTGGGGGCGGAACGTTGGTGTGTCAAGCCCAGGCGATTTGATCACATGGGACTATTCGTCACGAACCAGCCAACTGCCAAGTTTGTCACTCAACGATACAGCTCCTGTTCGGGCAAGGTCCAGGCTGAAGCACAAAATCAGTCACAGAAAAGGTATGTGACGATAAATAAGAGAAGAGAAGTGAAGTGAAACAAACAGATGAGAAATCACTCCTGCAGACGGTTGAATCTGTGCCACAAGCTCACACAGCAGGCAGTTTGGGGAGGGAGGTGGGCCAGGCCGACCACCATGGACCCACCCATGTCAGTCAGAACTGGGGGAACTGCGATTTCCGATGCAAGCTCTCCGGCTGCCTGTTTGGTCGTAACTGCCCTTCCGTACTGCCGCCGACTCCACCCATGCAGTGTCGGGCATTTCAGCCAATTGAGTAGCCTTAGCGATTCGGACGGAGGGAACCAATGAACAAGGGGAAGTTACAGCAATCGTCCATTGTCTTGTGGGGGACCTCAGTCCAGGCAAATTACCGAAGAGGATGCAATGCGGTTGGTACATTCAGCCCGAGCGACACGAACACAACGTCGGCTGCCGGAGTGCCATGCCCGAAATGTGGGACAGTTCCGAACGGTTTGGGAAGCTGCGTGGGGGGAGGTTGGGGTGTCTCGAGGGTGTCAGACGGAAGCTCCTGTATGTAAGATGAAGCTTGCTGTTTCATTGCTTGGTTGTCTTTCGGCGTTTGTTCCAACGGCGATTGCGATAACTGCAACTATGTAGGTAACCAACCAACTGATTAACTAACCAATGCGATTGCTGCTTATCGGAGGCTGCCGAGCGGCCCAGGCCCCTGCAGACCGGAGCGGCAATGTCGTCACCACCTGCCAGCAGTTCAAGAAAATTATTCTGCCAAATCGGACTGCCAGGTTGACGGATAACAACGGCTTCGAGCGCAACCGCCAAATCGTCTGAACACGTCACTCCAGAACTACGTTCACATCGTTGGCAGCATTTCTAGCTTCTGATGCATGGCCGCGGCATTGAAACGCACCGCAAAAAATACAGGAGGATTTCTTAGCACACGTGAAGTATCAGGGAGGCAACAAGGGAGAACAAGGGAGAACAAGGGAGGCAACGTGCCCGACCGAACATCTTCAGATCCGCTACGAAAGATATATTTCCTGCAGCCCGGAAATCGACCGGCCTCACTGTTATGAATGTCACTCAAGGGCGACCGCCTCAAGGATGAGGGCTCTCGTCTGCAAGTCACGGCCGCCGGGGCCACGGCTGGCCTAGTTGCTCGGTATGACCTCCCCATGTCGGAATCAAACCGTCACCAAGCCCAGCCCTAACACCCGCTAACACTTCCCCCTCTCCAGCTTTGTCATCGCCCCCCTCGACGTCGTCAAGATCCGCCTCCAACTACAAACCCACTCCCTATCCGACCCCCTCTCCCACCGCGACCTGCACGGCGGGCCCATCTACAAGGGCACGCTCCCCACGCTCCGGCACATCCTCCGCTCGGAAGGGATCACGGGCCTCTGGAAGGGCAACGTGCCGGCGGAGCTCCTGTACGTGTGTTATAGCGCGATCCAGTTCACGACGTACCGCACCACGACGCTCCTGCTGCACCAGACCCTGGGCGAGGGCACGCTGCCGCCCTCGGCCGAGTCCTTCGTCGCCGGCGCCATAGGCGGCGGCACCGCCACCGCGGCTACCTACCCGCTGGACCCTGCTGCGCACGCGCTTCGCCGCCCAGGGCAACGATCGCGTGTATGCGAGTCTGTGGCGCGCCGTGGCCCAGATTGGGTCGTGAGGAGGGCGCCCGTGGGTTTTTTCGGGGTCTGGGACCGGGCTTGGGCCCAGATTATTCCGTATATGAGCTTTTTTTTTGCGACGTACGAGACCCTGCGCCCTCATCTGAGCGAGCTGGAATTGCCGTTCAGTAGTAGTAGTGCCGTGGCGAGGACGATGGCGAGCGTGATGGCCAAGTCGAGGACGTTTCCGCTTGATCTGGTGAGGAAGAGGATCCAGGTGCAGAGCCCCACGCGCGGCCGGTACGTGCATAAGAATATTCCGGAGTATTATGGTGGGACGGTCGGCGCGCTGAGGACGATCTTGCAGAGAGAGGGGCTTAGGGGGCTGTATCGGGGGTTGACGGTTAGCTTGCTGAAGGCGGCACCGGCGAGCGCGGTGACCATGTGGACTTATGAACGGGCGTTGAAGTTTTATAGCGGGGTTGGGGAGAAAGGGGAGGAACAGAGGCTGTAGGATAGGAGGATGCGATGTGATAGATACCCTAGACGATAGACTGTACGTTTGTGTAATGATATCATCAACAGTTCGAGGGCTGAGAACGACCGAGAGACAACCCAGTCAAGCCCCTTTCACACAAAGCAAGTTTATCTATCCGACCGAATCTCTTCTTAAATGTAATGGTACAAACGGACGGGCTATGCCATCAAACCTCGCTATCTCGCCATCTCTACGCGCGGCTCTCCCCGCCTTTCTTTTTTTTTTTACCTCCACCTCAGTCAAGCCTTTTCAAATGTAGCTAGCTTCATTCATTTATTTCCCCTTACGCACCCACGCCTCCAACGCCTCCCTCGCATCCCGCACCCCCTCATGCACCTTCCTCTGCGCCAGCTCTGCATGCACACGAGCCATATACACCCCCTTCTCGACGCCCTCGCGCGCCCGCAGATGCGCATCCGCCACCGCCGGCACGCGCTTCTCATACTCCCACGCCAGCGCGCCCACATTGCCCATCGTGACGGGCAGCACGGTCCAGGCGGCGCCCAGGCCGAGCGCCAGCGGCGCGGCGCCGCGCACCAGCACGTTGCGGTTGCGCGCCACGATGCTGCCCGCCATGCCCGCCACCAGCACGTAGATGAGCCCCGGCATCAGCCGCTCGCCGCTCTCGCGTGGCGGCGCCAGCGACGCTACCGTCGACGTGAAGGACCGCTCCGCCGCGAACGCCCGCGCCATCGCCCCGTTGACGGCGTCCTCGGCCACGCAGGACTGCGCGTACACGAAGAGGCGTGCCTGTCGGATTTGGGCGGCCAGCCGGTCTGTGGGCGTGGGAGCCCGCGTGCGGATCACCGTGGTGGGGGTGGTGGAGTCGAGGGGGGATGTGGAGGGGACGGGTGGTGCCGGGGTGGTGGCGACGGGGAGGGGCTCTTCGGAGGGCGAGGGAGGGGCGGGGGCCGGGATGAGGGCGGTGGTGGTTTCTGCTGTTGTTGGGGGGGGTTGGGCGCGCGGGCTTGGTTAGGGCGAGGATGTCCGAGTCATCATAGATGAGCTTTCGGAGCTGGAGTTTTTCGGGACCGTGTTAGATCGGGGGGAAGAGGGGTTTTTGGGGTGGGGAGGGGTGTTCGGGTTATATACGTACATACTGGCGTTCGCTGGGCGCTTCGGCGTGTGCGGTCCGGGGGTAGAAGGCGACGGTTCCTACCAGTGCGGCAGCCGTCAGCGGCGCAACGCGCTGTATCGAGGCGAGTGGAGGTTAGTATTTGGTATTCTGAGGTTATGAGAAGCAAAAAGTCAGAGATTGGATGAGCACGTACCCGCTGCAGAAGCACTCGAGAAGCCATTTGTCCACCCAATTGAGACGTCTCTCTCAAGCTCTCAAGAGTTCCGGTAGTGGGCGGGCAGCAGCTCCCGGTTGGTGGTGGGCGAGGAGCTTGGATGCTAGCTGGGTCCGAGGTTGTGAGGCGTGGGTAGAAACCAGGATTGGGAGTTGCAGGCGCACTTGCGGCTATTTCCGGGAACGGAGCTTTATCACGTTCTGGAGATCCGGATGTGGGTGCCAATAGAAGATGCGCAAAATGGACTCAGCCAAACTTTTTTGGTCTTTTTTGGTCTAACTGTGGGGCTAGATTTCGGGCCTGGAAAAGGATGGTCCGGGAACTCGGAATTTGCTGCTTCCATCCATGTCATTCTTTTTGAGTCTGGATTAATCCCACTTTGATTGACATGTACATGTAGATTCGAACTAGCTACGAAACAGGAGCTTCCACCACAACAGACGGGAACCTACAAATCAACACCGAACCGGGACCACCACCGAGCGAGGAGATCTCAGATCTCGACTTCCGAATCCGATCTCAATGCTCTATTCAAGTCCAGCATATCAGTAGCGCTCGGCGTCGTGATCACCTCCGCCTCCGATCGCCGTGTTTCGCGCCCTCACCGACGCCGGGGCCCGTCATGATAAGAACTGTGACGCGGCCGAGGCAATGGCAACGATGGGTTTACTCGAGCTGTCTATTACAGCGTGCAGTGCCCCCCGCAGCTGCCCGTCAACAGCCCCGGTTCACAACTTCGCACAAGGCGAATCACTTCGGATACCACCAGCCCATTGCGCCAGTTACCCATGCACCAATAACCCGCGAGGATGACTTCGTTTTGCGCTCCGTCTTCGACTACCCCCAGTTTTGGCAGGACTTTACCAGCGTTCCGGGCGGCATCCCCGTCGGTCTCTTCCGAAACTCGTTCCTGAAAGAGCCTAGGGGGATGCTCACCTTCGCCTATGTGAGCTTAAAGAAGGCCCGGGCCGTCGTCGCCAAGGTGCTCGCCGCATCATCCGTCACCGAGTACCGCCTTATCGTCCGGGACCTCGACCGTCTGAGCGACATCCTCTGCCGCGTGCTCGACATGGCCGACTTCGTGCGCGTAACCCACCCCGACCCCGAGATACAGCAGAATGCGAGCAAGGCTTGGGAGTCGGTCTACGAATATATGAACGAACTCAACACCATGACGGGCTTACACGACCAGCTGGCTACGGCGATGGCCAATCCCGATGTCACGGTCGTCTGGTCAGAGGAGGAGAAGACGGTGGCCGAGGTACTGAAGTTGGACTTCACCAAGTCGGCTGTCAGCCTGCCCCAGAAATACCGCGATCGCTTTGTCCAGCTTTCGTCAGAAATCAGCGCGGTCGGGTCCGCTTTTGTTCAAGAGATGGCGCCGGAGCAAGAAACGGTCGTCCTCCCCAGCAGCGATCTCAGGGGCATGGATCCCGTCCGGGCGCGGGACCTGACACGGCGCGGCAAGGTCTACCTCCCCACGCTAAGCGGGGAAGCCGTCATGGCGTTGCGTACTGTGCACGACGCGGATGCGCGCAAGCACATTTTCTATGCCTCCCGCACCGCGTCCCGTCGATCCGTTCAGATGCTCGAGTATCTGATGAGGCTGCGATCCGAGCTGGCTAGTCTCTCGGGCTTTGAGAGTTACGGCCACCTTGCCCTGAGAGACCGCATGATGGCGAAGAGCCCGGAAGCCGTCGACCAATTCCTCCGTGCGCTGGTTGAAAGCAATAGGCCCAAGGCCATGCAAGAGATGGCCGAGCTCTTAGCTGAGAAGCAGAAAGCGTACCCACAAACGAACAGCCTTGACCCCTGGGACAAGGACTACTACTCAGACATCATCCGTCGGCCGTTGAGGGTAGCCGGGCGCCAAGGTGACCTCTTATCGTCCTACTTCTCGCTCGGCGTTGTCATGCAAGGGCCTATCTAGGCTGTTTATGGAGCTGTACGGCATCAGACTCGTCCCGAGGCAGCCCTTGGTCGGGGAGACATGGCACCCCGACGTGCGCCGCCTCGATGTGGTGTCAGACACAGACGGCCACGTTGCCGTTTTATACTGCGACCTCTTCACCCGTCCCAACAAGTCCCCGAACCCCGCCCATTTCACCCTCCGGTGCTCGCGCGAGATCTTCGCGTCGGAAATGGAAGAGGTCTGGGAACAGACCCAGCAAAGCAACCAGAAGTCCATGTTCGGGAGTCCCGAGCTTGCGGCCACAGACGGCATGACCTTTTCGAGACACGGAGACAGCATCAAACAACTCCCGACGATCGCCCTGGTCTGCGACTTTCCCCAGCCCTCCAAACACGGGGACCAGCCGGCCCTCCTGAGCTTCCTCCAGCTTGAGACATTGTTCCACGAGATGGGCCACGCGATCCACTCGGTGCTGGCACGCACGTCGTTCCAGACCGTCGCGGGCACGCGGTGCGCGACGGACCTCGCCGAGCTGCCGTCGACGCTGATGGAGTTCTTCGCGGCCGACGCGGCCGTGCTCGGCCAGTTCGCGCGCCACCACGAGACCAACGAGCCGCTGCCGTACCGCATGGTGGCGCAAAAGGCGCGCCAAACCCGCCGCTTCGAGGCCCTCGACACCGAGAACCAGATCGTCACGGCCATGTTCGACCAGGCCCTGCACTCCCCGCGCGCCGGCGAGCCCGGGTTCGACCCCACGGCCATCTTCCACGCCCTCCAGCGGACGCACAGCTGCGCCCCGCCCGACCCCCCTGGCACCAGCTGGCCGGGCTTCTTCGGCCACCTGTCCGGCTACGGCAGCGTCTACTACAGCTACCTGTTCGACCGCGTGCTGGCGCAGCGCGTGTGGGACGTGGTCTTCAAGGCTGGCGAGCGCCGCGCCGCGCTCAGCCGCGAGAATGGCGAAAAGCTGAAGCAGAGCCTGCTCAAATGGGGCGGCGCGCGGGATCCCTGGAAGTGCCTGGCCGAGGCGCTGGATGATGATAGGCTGGCGGAGGGCGGGGAGGAGGCCATGGCGCTGGTGGGGAGTTGGGGGTCGACGAAGCCGAGGTGACGGGGTTGTATGTGTAGTTGTGTGGCTACAAAAATCTAGATAATGCCCAACGATATACGATATACGATATATGGACTACGACATTTTCCGCTAAAAGAGATGATAGGCGGGCAAAAAGATTTCATCTGGTGGTTATCAAGCAACAAGCCGTGTCGAAGAAAAGAAACAGCACTCCTATTTGCAAAGTTTAGAAGATATTGAGACTATTTTGGAAGGACTCAGATACCTACCACAGCGGTCGGCTAGTCGCAGCCGTGGCGTTGGGTTTTCTGCAACAGAGTTGGTAAAAGCAGCACTGCCAAAACTGGTTGGCATCTCCGAGCAATGGCTGAAAAGGATTTAGCAAACGCCATGTTTGATACCGTCAAATTCCAGAACATGCGTAGCGCTGACAGGGGTTACACTCAGAGTGGGCCAATAACTCATCTGCAATATTACTTCTTCAGCCCTGTACATTCCTCACACGCGACTCAAAAGATCTAGACCACCTCGTCCAGCCTTACCCGTGGTTTTCACCCAACTTCATCCCACCATTATCCCACCACTGTCATTACTTTTTCAACGTCCGGCGCGCGCCATAACGCGTTCATTTTACCTCTTCGCCTTCTCCATCACCACTATCAACCCTCACTTACACCCCCCATTAACAATCTACACCCGCCCAAAATGCACCCCCCAACCCACCACCACCTCCTCCCCCTCCTACACCAAGTCCTCCATTGGCAACCGTAAGTGAACAACAGGGCCATCCATCCGAGCTAGAGGTTATTAACGGGAGATAAGAATAGCTTCCTCTCAATCGCACCCTCTGCGACGCTTCCCTCCCATCAGGAAATAAAAAGACGGGAGCAGGATGTCCAACATAGGTTCAGCGGTT